CGGCCGCGGAGCCGGGCTCCGGGCGCCGGGGCTCGGACGGGGCGCGCGCATGGCCCGGCCCCCGCCACCCGCGCTTGCGCTGCCGCTGCTGCTCCTCCTGCTCCTAGCGGGCGCGGTCGGGTGCGAGGAGCCGGCCGCGACCGCCGACTGGAGGGCCACGCTGAAGACCATCCGCAACGGCGTGCACAAGATCGACACGTACCTGAACGCCGCGCTGGACCTGCTGGGCGGCGAGGACGGGCTGTGCCGGTACCGGTGCCGCGACGGTGCGCGGGGCCGGGCGGGGCCGGGCGGGGCCGGGCGGGCGGGCGCTGACCCCAGAGGTCGCCGCGCGTTTACTTTTCCCCACGGAGTTGCACACTGTTGCGGTGGAGTCGCGGTCTTCTCCGGAAAGAACCGAGTCCAGCACTGATTTTTAGCTCTGGTAAATGAGTCGGCAGAGCAGCAAAGCTAATCGAGAACTTTTAAAAATCACGCAGTATTCCCTTTTTCGGGAATTGGTGTTTCTCTTCTTCGGCAAAGCGACCTTTGTACAGACTTTGCGGGCGATTGGCGAGAGAGAGCTAGCCGGTAACCCTGGGAAACCGCCCAAGACCTGACAGTTTTCCCCTCTGGGTATCAGTGACCCCTTCTTGTTGGTCAGTACTGTCATTTTTTCATTTACTTCTTTCACATTTTTTTAAAACTTCAATTCTATTTGAATCTAAAAATCTGTTTTGTGGCAATTTGGGTAATAAACGAGTATTTCAGGCAGAGATTTGGGGCCTTTAAAAGCACTTTTGTGAGTGTTTAAATATTTTAATGCTTCGGAAAAGTACTTTGGCTTCTGTTTAGAAATTCACTGTTAAGATAGCAGTTGGGAAATCACATTTCCAGTAAGATCAGCCAAGGCCCGGGTCTGGTTGATGCTGGGAGCTGAAAAAAGTAGGAAACTCCATGTCTTTAATGGTGAAACTCGAGTGTACACAGAGATGAACTTAAAAGGAACCTGTGTCATGTAACAGCGATGCTGCTAGTGCACTGGGGAGGGCGTTTTTCTTCTCGGAGGTTTTATCAGGAGGAATACTTAGTCATTCTCACTCTTTGCAGATAGGCAAATATGAGAATCGAGTCCGTGTGTCAGGTGTCGTTCTAATTGAAGGTTTGTCAGTGAACCAAACGGACGAAATCTCTGTCCACGGAGCTCATGGTCAGGGACAAAGCGTGGATGGTGCACCGTGGGCCCGCAGTGATGGCATCCTGCAGGTCAGAGGCAGCAGTGTGGTGCTGGCCCCCGTCCAGGAAAGGCCTCTGTAGAATATCTGAGAAGAAACCGGAAAGTGGTAAAGGTGACTTTCTGGTGACCTGGAGAAGAGCAGTCTAGAGGGAGGACCCGTCAGGGACCAGTCCCTGGCGGTGACTCAGGCTCTGGCCTCGCTTGCCCTGTCGGTCAGGTGGGGAAGACTTGGGAGGAGTCATTGTTACAAATTCAATTATGTGGCCCTTAGGTTATGGAGTTTATTTACTATCAAATACTTATTCAGTTGAACAGATACTGTTCTTATTAAAAGACTTTATTTAATATTTTTTTCATTTTCCACAAACCTCACAAAATTCGCCAGTTGGAGCTGGGACTCTTAACATGAAAAACAGCAGTGAGTTCGCTTGCCTCGCAAGCGCAAGGACCCGAGTTCGATCCCCAATACCAAAAAAAAAAACAAACAAAAAACCAGTGAGGTTGAGAATGGAACATACCATTTGGTGCATTAATTACTACTGTCTTTTCAGTGAACATGTGGTCTGGATTCACCATGCTGATAATTCCAACTTGATGAAAATGTTCTTTTAATTTCTTGTTATGGTTTGTGTCTAGATGTCCCCCCAAAGCCTCATGCAGATGAGGTGGGACTTTCTTTTTCAGAGGTAGTTGAATCTGGAATGTGTGATGCTGGGGTTAAGGGTGTGTGATTACTAAACCACTACACCTGAGTGATTAGTTTGGCACTGCCCTCATCCGGACAGTCTGGATGGGATAAAAGAGGCAGAAAAGAGGTGAATGCCTCTTGCTTTTTGTGATCTTCTGCTGCCAGGAATGTTGCTTCTCTTGTTACCTTTGCTGCCTTGTGTGCACCATGTTGTTTCTGCTCTGCGATTCCTGTTTGTCCTGTTTGTCGTCCCTGCCTTGGAGTCAGCCAGTTATGGACTGAAATTTCTACGGACTGTCAGCCAAATAAACCACTTCCCCTCCCACTTTGGGTGTCAGGTGTTTTGTCTCAGCAAGGAGAGAAAAGTAACTAACACATTTCTGTCACTTGAGAAGTCTTCCGGGAACAGTGATTCAACCTTTTCCAACCCTTCAGCAACCCCACCTCGTCATAGCGTCCATTGTGATTAGGTTTCAAACAGTCTGTGGCTTGCCAGAGACCCTGCCCTTCAGACTGCACCCTGCAGGAGCAGTGACGCAGGCGTCAGGAGGCAGGGGCGGACCCGGGGTGTCCAGCAAAGGGGCAGATGTGACGGGATGGAAGAGACTGGTAATGAGAAGTCACAGGAAGGCCAGGTTCCAGAGGGTCTCGAAGGCTTTTCGGATTGTGGCTTCCATCCTGGGTAAGAGGAGAAGCCAGGGGAGGGATTCGAGTAGGAGACAGCCTTGGTCTCGTGTATGACTTAGAGAGCGCTCAGGTTCGGATTGAGAATGGGGAGATCAAGCAGGGGTGGGGTGGGGAGAAGTAGTCAGGTGCTGAGTATCCTGAAGGCAGAGTCCACAGGAAGTGCTGTCGGGTGGTGTAAGTGGGAGAGGACAGTGCGAATTCGGACTGGCAAGAGCGGTATGGGTGGAGCGAGAGGGCCATCCGAGCTTGGTCCCAGCTAGGGGCTCCTGGAATGGGAGGCGGAAGCGAGAACTGCTCCTTGGGAACGCCGACTACCACCAGTAGGTGCAGGGAAGGGGCATGGAAGAGTGGAGGCGCGCCACGCACACGGACCCACTCTCCTCAGAGTGTGACCTTTGTGTCTTGCAAACCTGGACTAATAAACATAACTTTTACAAAAAGCCTTGAAGGAACACAGTGACCGTGACAGCCCAAAGCATTCCCGTCTCCTGAAGGCCCGGAAATAACCCTTCGTGGGCAGTGCTGGAGAACAAGGCCCCTCTGCATCCACCTCACCGTTCCTTCAGGACCAGCAGCCGTCACTGCTCTGCCCGCCCTGGGTCAGACTGGAGGCTTCTGGGCTCCGCCAAGCAGGGAGCTGCTCAGCAACTCCCAAGGCCGTTCCCATCACTACTTTGACTGTGCTACTCATTTTGATGGCTGATTACTCCGAGTGGCTTTTTCCTCGTTACCTTCACAGGGTGACCTGTCTTTATCTCGGCCTCCTGGCACTATTGGCTGAATGAAAGTTGTTGGACTACTTTGTGTCTCTCTTATCTGTCCAACGTGAGGTGGTGTGTGAAACTACTGTGGTTATATCTGAAATAAGCGGACACTTCCTTTGTAGAATGAAGATAGACAGTAGCCCCAGTCCATTGAAAGGACTGCCAGGTAAAGCAGGGAGTTGGCCTATTTTGTGTTGTCCTGAGGGGCAGTGTTGCCTGAAAGCGGAAGAGAGAACATCTTTGCAGTTGGCAGCGACCCAGTGTGGGAGCGGGAGGGACCGGGACACATCCGGAGAGACAGCGGGTGACGGGTGTTGGAGTCATTCTGCAAGACGTGGGTGAGATGCTCTCTGGAATTGAGGATTGCGACTATACTGTCATCTTCGTCCTCGTTCCTGAACCGTGCTGCCATTGGTGGGGAGAGCGTAACTGGGGAACACCGATCCCCAGTGGCTTGATCTCTTCATTAGCTCCATCTGGCGTGGGACTCTGGCCTCACTGCAAGTCCAGGATATGCTTTGGCATGATTTGGAAAGAAGAGTATGATTCATAATAATTAAGTTTTGTGAACTGCTGTGTGTGTGTACGTGTATATGTGCACATGAGCATATATTGCACATTCTTTCCCACCAGAGAAATAATTAGGCAGTAATTAGATAAATTAGATTCGTAGTTTGCCTCAAAATAAAGACAATCACAAGTTGGGCGTGGTGGTACATGTCTGTAATCACAGTTACTTAGGCTGAGGCAGGAGGACTGCAAATTTGAGGACTGCCAGGGCAACTTAGTGAGACGTGTGCTTATAGCAGCACAACTCAGTAGCTAAATCTTGGAAGTGGCCTATATGTCATCAACAGATGAATGGATAAAGAAAATGTGGTACGTATACACAGTGGAGTACTGGTCTGTTAAAAAGCATAGACTTGGGGGGCCGGGGATTTAGCTCAGTGGTTCCGCCACCTGCCTTCCAAGCACAAGGTCCCGAGTTCGATCCCTGGTACCAAAAGAAAAGAGAAAAAGCATAGACTTGGTCAGTTGTAAGAAAATGGATGCACCCTGAAAATATAATGTAAAGTGAAATAAATCAGACACACAAGCTGAAATATTGCATGGTTTCTCCTTTGTGAGAAACCCAAAGTTTAATACATTAAAGAGCAAAATAAAGGACAGAGAAAAGGAAGCAGAGAAATAGATCTTTTCCAAATGGGAAGGGACAGAGAGATGGAGGGGAGGGGAGGGGAGGGGACGTGAAAAGCATTAGGCTGGGTCCTGTATGTGACCGACTCCCCACTAGGGGTGTAGTCTCGTGCTACACACATACTGACAAGAAAGAAAAAGTAACGTAGAAACAGGCGGAGGAGGTAGCTCCCTGGTACAGTGCTTTCCTCGCCGTGCAGGAAGCCTGGGGCTCGATCCTGGAATTGCAGAAACAAAACACAAAAGTACAGTTTGGTCACCACCCAGCTAAAGCATGGTATTTCCAAGGCTAGCGTGGCACATGTGGATCTGAGTATTTTGTTTCTGTCCTATCTGAAAGTTTGTATTTTCATTGTATTTTGCAGGATCGAAGCCTTTTCCACGCTATGGATACAAACCCTCCCCACCGAATGGGTGTGGTTCTCCGCTGTTCGGTGTCCAGGTGAATACAGGTTTTCTGGTGACTTCCGGGCTTGCTGTCCGGCTTTCCATCGTGTAGGACTAGTGTGCGCCCAGGTTCGCAGTGCGGCCTGTTGTAACAGTGATGGGTTTGCCACATTGTTTTTCCGCAAAACATTTAATAACTGCTAGCAAAACTAAATGGGATAAAATTAATGTTTTATATTTGAATGCTGCTCATGTTAATACCATTTAAATGATATTTCCTAATGTCGCCAACACAATGTAAGTTTCAGGTACAGAAAGAATACCTCCTAGGGGAGAGAAGCAGAGATAGAGCGTATTTTCTGTATTAAAAAAGGCAAAGTGGGGCAGCAGTGTGCTTGTCAGGAGGCTGGGCCTGACCCGGTAACTGAGGAAAGTACGAGGAGCCACTTAGAGGCCAGTCACAGATTCAGGTGGCATCTTAGGGAATGAGCAAATACGTGAGGCCTGCGGGCCGGGGGTTTAGCTCAGTGGTGCCAGTGCCTGCCTGGCAAGCACAAGGTCCTGAGTTTGATCCCCGGTACCAAAAAAACAAAAACCATGAGGGCTAAGGAACAAAGCACAGTGAGCTATGGGTGCCTGGCGCTTCTCTGTGGCGTCTCCCGTGGAGTATGTGTCATTTGGGGGAGGGTACGGAATATTTGGAAGTATCCACAAATGCTGCTTGCCTAGCCCGGAGAAACCTTTAGCTCGTGTTTTGGAACTATGTTCTGTGTCCGGACAGCTGGGCGCGTGTTTGTACCTGGCAGGTAACTGCGCATCTGCACTGCAGAGAGGGGAAACGAGAGCAGGCCGGACAGCAGTCCTGGTGGGCATGGAAGAGTGCTGGTGGGGCAGCGGGCGCAGCGGCGCACCCTGCAGTCCCAGACTCGGAGGCTGAGCTGCACGGTGGACCCTGCCGCAAAGCAAGGCACACTGGGCTGTGAGTCCCCGTGCGGCAGGCACCTTCACTCACTTCCGGTCAGGCTCTGAACGCAGCCCCTCTGCAGAGGACTGTGATCCGCTGACCGCAGGCCCCCACTGCCTCCTGCAGCTCAACGTCGGGATCCCCTCCCTGACCAAGTGCTGCAACCAGCATGATCGGTGCTACGAGACCTGTGGGCAGAGCAAGAACGCCTGTGACGAAGAGTTCCACCACTGCCTCTCCAAGATCTGCCGGGACGTCCAGAAGACCCTGGGCTTGGCTCAGAACGTGCAGGGTGAGCATGCGGCGGGCCGGGGCAGCAGCTGAAGTCCTGGGTTCTGCCGTAGCATTTACTAGCAGAACCCTCACTTCTTACGGCCTCCTCACTCGGCCGAGCTGAGGAGCTAGCTGGATGTCTTTGTACCCAAAATCACACAGTCACAGAAGTAGGCCGCGTTAGGAAAGCTGGAAAGAAGGTGTCTGAGGCCCGAGAACAGGTCCCCAACCGTGGAGAACCTAAAGACTGAAGTCCCGAATGGTCATCTTAGTCTGTGCCTAACAAACCGAAGAGACTGGGGCTTAGACACAGAAACTTCCTTCCGGCCCTTCTGGGGGCTGGAAGTGCAGGCCCAGGACACTCGCACGAGCACTGTCCTGTACGGGCACTTCCTGTCTGAGAGGCCCCTTCCGGCCGTGCCGTCTCATGCAGCAGGGACTGGCAGCTCAACATAACCAGTGTTGGGGAACACCGCATTTAGGGTTCTCCAGACAGGCTCACACAGTAGAGCTGGCTCTGAAGCCCTAACCACGAGCATCCGTGTCATGGGAGAAATCTCTGCTCCGGCCAAAGCTTGAATCCACCACCCTGTCCCCTCCCAGCTCTGGGCTGAGGGGAACTGGCTGCTCGCTGAACACGCCTGGACGTGGTTTCTGTTTTCTGATCCAAGAAGACATTGTAGTGCGGCCGAATGAGGCCAGTTTTCTTGCTTTCCCCTGTTTAATGGCCTGGCCAGTGCATCACTTTGGTTGGTTGTGCTCGTTACTGGCCCAGTCTTTGGGAGAAGTTTGAAAATGTGAAGATTTCATAATAAAAAGATGTTTCCTTACCATGAATATTTGAAACTAAAAGCATTTGAGCAACTGAAAGCCATCTTGTCCCGCATCTCTATAAATGTTGGGGTGATCTCGCCTGGGTGTTTCGGGTTTCTTCTGTTATTGTCTTTTTAAAAATCAAAAGCCCTCACAGGGAAAAAGCCATTTTGGATTCCGGTGACCTCCCGCCTGTGAGCCCAGTGTGGTTTGGTCGGAGGAAGATACTGGGTTCTGAGTGCTCATGTGCCTTACCTGGGGTTGTGCTCAGTTCTCGGAGGCCATGGGCCTTAGCACTGACGCTTTTGTTTTTAAACTTACTTCATTGGCACCTAAAACATCTTTGCAGGACTGGGGCTCTAGCACCGCGGTAACCACAGTGTCTGTTCTTAGCCTGTGCATGGCCTTGGGTTTGATTCGTGGTACACACAAAAGAACAGCAAAACTTTCCCCAAAATAAATAAGTGTGGCGCTGTCAGGCATCTCTGTTAGTGATCCCAATTCCCAGCTAAAGGAAAGTCAACACCAGCTGGTGCTTTGAGAGACACCGTTTCCAGTCTAGTGCGAAATATTGAAGGCAACGCAAACTAGGATGTGCAGAAAGGAGAGGGAAGCCGAGAGTCGTGGGCGGGTGGGTGGCTGAGGGAGGTGCTCTTGGGCGGGGGAAGCTGGGTATGCTGGGGACACCAGGGGAAGGCACGGCGTCCACAGCTGCCCACTGTCGGCCCCTTCTCTCTGCAGCCTGCCAGTCGGTGGTGGAGCTCCTGTTCGACAGTGTCATCCATCTGGGCTGCAAGCCATACCTGGACAGCCAGCGAGCTGCCTGCAGGTGTCGCTACGAGAAGACTGATCTCTGAGGAGGTCCGACACTCAGAGATGGCCAGGATGGAGAATTTAACCTTTGCCAAAGAACTGATGTTCTCACAGCATAAAGCTGCCTGATTCTGGTAAAAAGGGTCATTGAAGACCTAACAGGATGATGTTCTGATGTTAAAACCTCTAAGTAAAAAACACACACAAAACAGCTGGGTGTGGTGACACACACCTGTAATCCTAGCACTGGGAGGCCGAGGCAGGAGGATCGCCAGGAGTTCAAGGCCAGTCTGGGCTGTAGGGAGACCCTGTTTCAAAAAAAAAAAACGGTTAAGGCAGTGGAGAGGAGGGTGTGGCTGCCTCTTCAGGTGCCTTTCTGGATGTTGCTGCCTTGGTGGCCCTAATTGTCTTGACCAGTGTCAAAAACAGAAATGTGCTAGGGAAGACATTGTGAAGAGAAGAGTGTGTAGCTCTGTCAGAAAAGTACGTATATATTTTAAAATGTGATCAAATATATCCGTTCACTGTAAGGTCTATTCAACATTATCTTATTTGGAAATAAGGGGAAATTTTCATTTATAAGTACTATTTGTTTACTATAAAATTTTCAATAAACTTTTATGCCTGGAAGGAACCGACTTCGCTTTCTCTGTATTTTAGTCACACGTTGTGTGTTGTTGTTCTGTAGCCCACTGAGTGCATGAATAAGTCACGCTGCTGAAGACAGGGTCTCCATGGCATTAGAGCTGTCAGCCGTGCCCTCTCTTAGGGCGAAAGCCCAGGACGCTTCAGTGTCCCCCAGCGCGCTGGGGAGGGGCAAGGCCAGGCCCTGTGAACCACGCTTAGAGCCAGGGTCACCCAGCCACGGTCCTCCTGACCTGGGGAGGAGGTGGACAGCGGAGCCCAGGTGCACACACTGCGTGTTCATCCCTAGCACTTGCTCCTCAGTGAGTTCTGCAGTATTTGTAAAAGACTAACTTTTTACTACTTATGGCCTTAATAACGATTCAGAGTGGATGGAAAGGTTGAAATACAAAGAAATGCCTTTTATGGACCTCTTGTTTCCATGGAAAACTAGTAAGCGATGTTTAAGAGCCACTGCAGAACCCAGGCAGCCCCTGAGCATCTGCACGTGCTGATCCCGTCTGCCCTCGGAGTGCTCAGCTGACCACGGCCCAGTCTGTGCCCAGGACTAATCTGAGCTGCTGGCGGGGTCAGAAGCAGAGCGAGACTTGGTTCTCTGTGAGCCATCACCCAGGGCTGGGCAGAAATAACCACAGGTTCTGGAGCAGGGCCATGCCCCTGGGGTGCGATGCTGCTGGGAAACTGACAGCACCCAGCCCCGGCCACTCTGCCAGGAGCTACTTCTTCCATTTGCTCACTAATGCCTAAGTGAGCAGCCTGGGCCCAGATGTAAACGTTTTGAGCCCTTTCCTCCCTCCTTCCCTCCTTTTTTCCTCTTTTTGTAGTACTGGGTGGGGATTGAACTCAGGGCCTTTGCACTGAGCTACCTCCCAGCCTGTATTTTTTTTTGAGACGACACTCACAGAGTCACTAAATTGTCCAAGTGGGGCTCAAACTTGCAATCCTCTTGCCTCAGCCTCCCACAGTCATGCTATTACCGGCCTGTGCCAGCGGAACCAGTTTAGAACCTTGATACTTTGTCACAGTTTTATAAAAGGTACAGTTTTGCAAACCATTGTCAGTTTTTAATCTTTATCGCTATTATTGAAGTCCTTGACTAGATAACTTTAAATCGACAGAGAATTAGTGGCTTTCCCTAGCCCTATTGGCTTTCCAAGGGGAGAAATGGCAGGCATGGTGGTAGATGCCTGTAGTCTTAGCACTCAGGAGTCTGGGGCAGGAGGGTCATGGGTTTGAAGCCAGCCTAAGATACCTGGGGAGTTCCAGGCCAGCCCTAGGCTACCTTCATCTTGTCTCAAAAAGAAGGCACAAACAAAAATTATGCATAACGTATTTAATTTGTTGTCATACATTGTATAAAAATAATAGAAACAATTTTTGTATGTTCAAATTAAAAGCCTTGGAGTCATTGTAGATTTAAAGTTACAAAGATAATACGAGTTCCCGTAGACCTCGTCCAGTTCCGCGTGAACATTTCCTGAGGGGTGACTCGTTTGTCAAAAGCTAAGGAGCCAGCATCACTCACCACCATCCCAGCACTGCCTGTAATCCTCGAGCGCCTCTTTTTCCCGGTCGTGTCATTTTTCTTCTCCGGGAAATCTAGAAGCCACGCCGAGGTAGTCCTCTTGCTGCAGTAGTCCTCGTGCCTCATGAGCCCCTGGACTTTTGTGGCTCCAGGCGTGCCTTGTTTTCCTCAGCTGTGACAGTTTCTGACAGTTTCAAGGAGGCCTGGTCAGGTGTCGTGCTTGGGCTGGGTGTGCGGTTCTTAGAAAGGAGCCTTGGAGCAAGGCGCTTTGTGCCACATGGGCTGGGGCCAGGGCCGGGGCCGGGGGTGCTGCGCTTGCCAGCCAGGCCAGGAGTGCGGCGTCCTCTTCAGCTGGTTCTCGCTAAGCGCACTCACCATATCCACTCTGGGTGTGGGGGCCCGGACTCCCTGACTGATGGAGAGCACCTCTGTCCAGGGCCTGGGAGGTCTGCAGGAAAGGCCTGAGCCCCCCCCCCCCCCGGCTGATTGGCATCATTACGGATGGCTGCATGTTTCCGGCTTTGTTGCTGACATTGTTCCTTCCACCCTGGCTCTTCAGTGCTGTGAGTTGTCTGCTGTGTCCCTCATATAATCCATACTTTTGACTGGGGGGGGGGGGTGTCTAGAGATTGAGCCCAGTGCCTTTGCACCAAGCTACATCTTCAGCCCATTAAAAAATGTTTCTTTTTGTCTTGTTTTGCTGGTACCAGGGATCGAACTCGGGACCTTATGCTTTCGAGGCAGGCAGCGGCACCACTGAGCTAAATCCCCGGCCCTCAAAAATGTTCTTTAGAGACAGAGTGTTGCTAAGTCACTGAGTTACCCAGCCTGGGCTCAAACTTGTGATCCTCCTGCCTCAGCCTCCCAGAGGGCTGGGATCACAGATGTGTGAGCCTGGCCACACTTTTGACTACTGAGCACCCTCTCACGTTCTCGCGCTACAAGATGCTCCTGGTGCATCTCACCTATCCCCTGCCATCCTCTGGAAGGAGGGCATCTGAGGAGCCTTGGCTCCTGTGCGTGGAGAATGGTGTTTGGAAACCACGCCTATAAACCAGCCTCTCCCTGCATAAGAAAAACAGTAAAGAGCAAGACTTGTCCAGGTGCAGATTCCCTAAGATGAATGTTATTATGTATCTCTAAAATACATGAATGAAATTTTTAAAAATGCAAAAAAGAAAAAACATTAGAAAGTGGAGTAAACTGAAAACAGACCAAGCTGTACATTTTAGAATTATCCTTAACCTTAATTTTCTTCCACATATTTCATTCCTAGGAGAGGTGGCAAACTAAGCTTCAGTTTCAGTAAATTCCGTCAGTGACTATTCATGTCTGGGAACAATCGAGCCATCCCATCCGTTACCTTTGTTCTTCAGTGTATCTGCGTGGGTTTAATAGAACTGCTTTGCTTTTTTATTGCTATTGTTTTTCCTTGAGACAGTAGTGAGAACCTGGTAAAGTCCAGTCTAGGTGGCTGTCAGTCAGGAGTCCATCAGAATCTCGGAAGAGCTTTGCCAGCCACGAGCAGTGGCACATGCCCCTAAGCCCCACACTCTGGGAGGATCCCACATTTGAGCCCAGCCTGGGGAGAGTGACTTAGCGAGAACTTGTCTCAAAACAGAAAAAGGGCTGGGGAAGTAGCTCAGTGTGAAGGCCCTGTGTTCAATGCCCAGTACAAAAATAATACTAAAAATTGTTGCTGCTCAGCCTGTTTCCCATTCTGTAGGTCTGGATGGAGCCAAGAATGAGCAGCTCTAATTTTCATGTTGATACTGCTGGCTCAGAGACCCCAGTTGGAGCAAGGGTCTAAGTAACCTTTCAGGGGCTAAAAATCAATGTGCTGAAGGCTTCCTGAAAGTGCTGTTCCAAAGGCTGGGCACGGGGTGCTTCCAATATGAGATCTTGCTCTCACATCACAGACAAGACCTTGGGCTGGAGAGGTCAAATGTCTCACGGGTAGTAAAGTGGTGTGCTCGGATTGGAGCCCAGGCGCAAAGCCATTCACCACAATGTGCTCTTGCTTCCCAGGCCTGGTGGCTTACGTGCACGGGTAGCTCCAAAACAGGACTTGCTGCAGCCTGGCCTTGAAAGTCCCTAGTTAGGTCGGTGCCCTTGAAGTGAACATTGGGACCCTGCCCTCCTCTCTCTCCTTCCTGGACACACGAGGTGGGCACTTCCTCTGCCACACGCTCCCACCACAACCTGCTGCCTCGCCTTAGCCCCCGAGCAGCAGGCCAACTGGCCATGGACTGAAACCTGCAAAACCACGAGCTAAAATCAACCTTCCCTCTTTTTAAACTGACGTCTCACAGTATTGCAGTGATGAAAAGCTAACACAAGTTCTCCACAAATTTAGGTCTTGAGACAAAAAAACAACTTACTTTCAAGTACAAAACCGCGTAGACAATAAAAGTAATACTATATTTTGAAACAAGATATTTAGAGAGAAAAAAGCGGCAAATTCCTGTCAGCTGTGCCTCTGAGAGAGGCCGAAGTTGAACCAGCCGGGTGCTGTTCCCGCACAGTTTCAGGACTGGACCAGAGGGCAGGGAAGTGGGCAGAAGGACCGGAGCTCTTGCAGGGCAAACACGAGCCCGGGCCTCATTCTGGGCCTCAGCGTTTACGGAGCCCCTCCTGCGGGCTCCGCAGCTGGGCCGGGCAATGAGAAAGCAAAACAGAAAGCAAGCCTCCCGCCGGCTTCCCCGAGTGCAGCAGGAATGTCCTCTCCCCGCGCTTTCCAGCGGGCCCGCTGCGACGTGAGAGTTGTGTCCCGAGCGCTGAGCGAAAGGGACAGGAGAGGGGTGAAGGAGGCTGGGGGAACGAGCTGGCCCTGCTGGTGCGGAGGATTCCTGAGGGCCGTGCGCCGGCGGCCCAGGGTGTCCCCGGCACGGGCAGCGCAGTGCACCCAGGTGACTGACACAGGCCCGAGGAGATCACAGCGAGGGGCCCGACTAGGATAAAACCCTTGTCCTGCCTGTCCACGAATACGCTCTTCGGCTCCACGCTACAGCTGGACAAGATACAGAACGCCACAGCACAAGGGCGGCCAGGGCCGGGCTGTCTCGGAGATGGGATTTTCCCAGGTGGAGATGGAGCGCATAGCAGCGTTTCGCGGCCAGGTCACCGGAAAACACGCACGCCTCTGCCCGACTGCCGCGTGGACCCCGGCCACGGACACGCCGGAGCCGGAGCGGGCAGGGGGCTGGGCCGCCGCTCCAGGGCCCGCTAGGCCTCCCTTTCCCCCGTGCGGGCTGCCAGCCGCCTCGGTCCTCCGCCCCCGCCCAGGGGAGTCGGGTCTGGGCCTCACGGCGCCGCCTTTGTCGCGCCCTGGCTGACACTCGGGGACGCAGGCGTGCGGCGGACGCGCGGTTTCCAGGTAGGAGCCTCCGCTCGCGAAGAGCCGATCCCGCCCGCCCTGGCCCCGCTTCCGGGCGGCGGAGCTGCCCACCGTAAGCGCCGCTCCGGAAGGCACAGCCCTCAGGCCGCCTTTCTGTGGGGAGGGCGGTGCCGGAGCGGTCGCGGGCCTCGGCCGGGGCCCGCAGGTTCGGCCGGG